GCGCGATCCACAGTAACACTGTGAAGCCCCGGGTCACGCTTTGACGTTGGAATCGGGATTAAGAGGGGTTTGTTGATGAGGTATAGTCGTAGGAAGGAACAACCCTACCCCTTTTGAAAAGTTTGGCTGGGGTGGGTGTGGGGGCGGAGCCGGGCGGGGGGCGGATTCGTCCGCAGCAACTCCCCGGACGCACGCAGGCCTCAGAGCCCCCCAGCTTCCGTGCCCCTCGGCCCTGAAACTTGGAGCTGAGTAGGGGTCCAGCATGAAGCCCCCGGACCGCCCCGCCCCTGGCCGCACTGACCGGATACTGGGGGTCATGGGGGGCATGCTGCGCGCATGCGCCCTACCCGGGCAGGAGGGGGTAAGAAAGGGCGAATATGGTGGGGTGTGGCGGTCTTTAGGGGTCTTCAGGTGGGCTGCACCCCACAACTCACTTTACCAGCAAAAAGAAATCTTGCGGGATACCCACAGGACTCCCAGGAGGTCCATTAAGAGGGCCATAGCCATATTCTGGGTGAACCGTCCCCTCCACCCCAGCCTTGGCGACCCTTTTATAACACTGTGGATTTTGACAGCGGGGAGAAGGGGTAGGGGAAGGTTAAGGCTGGGCTTGAAGGGCGGGTTCCTTACGATCGTTCTATCCCGGCAGCCCCCGAAGAGAAGCCCCCTAGGGCCGGAGGGGACCGAGCCAGAGTCTGCCTGTACGGAGGGGGGGCAAAGAGGGGAGCACGACCGTGAGGTCCCCGCTTGGGCTCCACTGCCCGGTAAGAAGCTGGCGGTGGGGTGGGGCACAGTTTGCCATCCTGCGCAAAGCGGCGAATTAAAAAAAAAAAAAAATGCTGCTCTTATTAGCATAAAGGTTCGCATCTAATTTGCATGAGACCTATTTAATCGCTGAGACCTCCACGCTTCTTCTCGCCCTCTAGTCCGCTGTGTGTCCCCCACTCAGCCGGTCCCGAGCCCCCGCAGGCGGAGTGTCCCCGCGCCCCACCCCTGGCCCCACGCCAGCCCAGGCTCCAGGACTTCGCCTTAATTGGTGATTAGCTTCGGCTGGAGTCCCAGGGCCAGGAGGAAAGAAGGGTCCGGAGAGAGGGCGGCACCTGGTTTATGTTCCCCAAAAAGAGCTCCCTATTCGCGCACCCCGACTGGGGGACCTTGTCTACCCCTGCGCGGCTAGGGACCGTTCCAACTCCAGGACATCTTCGCACAGGCCAGGGCCGCGTCCAGCGGGCCTTCTCCTCCGCAGAGGCGGAGGGGCGACCCGCGCAGACCCCGCCGCCGGGCTTAACCCCCGCGCCAGCGCTCTGCGGGCAGAGTCCGAGATGCAGGAGGAGGGGAAATCCGGGGCTGGGGAGCCCGGGATGCGGAGGAGGGGCAGAGGCGCTGGGGACGTGGAGCGGGAACGTGGTGGTGCCTGGGGGAGGGGGGACTGGGGCGGGAACCCGGCCCTGGCTAAAGGGGGAACGGGCGGGAGAGGGCGGAGCTGGGCTGCAGAGGCCCCTCCCCGCGGCCGCACCGCGGCGGGGCCTGTTATTCGGCTCGCCGCTCGGCCCGGACCCGCGCAGCGCCAGTGACTCGGGGAGTCGGCACCCCTTCTCCCCTGCCCGGGCCTAGAACCACCCCAGCCTGAGCGGCCGGAGACTGAGCTGTAGCGGCTGCCGCACCCCGGCCCAGCCTCCCCAGCACCCCTCCCCTCCCCTCC